TAACATAATTTGTGTGTTTCAATGCGCAGGATGGAATGTTCTACCATTCAGTCAGCAAGACTCCTCTCCTTCACGACGCTAACTGGTTGCGGTTCCATTTTGGTGAAAAAGAAGCTAGCGCTGCATCGCTTTTTTCTTTGACAAGAAAACGGTCACAGCTCACATCTCACAGCGCGCCGCCTCTCACCACCAATCTTGCCAGTCCCACCAATTCTTATTATTCCAGCCGTCATTCTGATCCCCGTCAGTATCTTTCTTCCATGGACGACCTTGCCAAGAAGAGCTAGAAGAGCTGGAGCCACTGGGGTAGCCGCGCACTCGGGCAAAGTAAATTTGCCTTTGTGTACCGCGGTTTGTCTTCTTCCTTTTCACCACTTCTTGCTGTAGTGCCTCGAAGAAACGAGCTGCCAAAGACATGCTGCCATTGGGTCAAATTGGAAGCACGTTTAACAAACAAGCTGTCAAAAACAAATAAACAGTGGCAAGTTACACAGTCAGTGTTGATGCAGCCCGCGCTACTCTCTGCGTAGGACCTCTTCTTGCAGACGCGGCAATGGACGAGATCTGTAGGGAAGGTTTCATCGTCATGATCATAGTCACTTGCCGGGCTTGCTGCACCAGGAGTCCCTGACTGTGAAGGCATGACTGGTTGTGGAATGGCACTGGTGGGCGGCATCATAGCCGCTGTAAAAGCACCCACGCCTGGCTGCGCTTGAAGCAGCTGTTGTGGTTGAACGGCTTGGACTTGCTGTGGCTGTTGAACGCACGGCACTGGTTGCCCGAGAAGGGGCGGTTGCCCAGCGAAAGTCTGTGGCCCAAAAGCGGGCTGTTGCCCGACGAAGGATCCTGGCCCAAGAAAGGATGGTTGCCCAGAAAAGGCGGGCTGTTGCCCGATGACAGGCGTTTGCCACGCCATTGGTTGCCCCATTTGAGCAAAGCAAGGAGGTAGCACCTGACGCACCTTTGGCTGTGCCTGAGCTTGGCGCCATGGTCTTGCCTCAGTCTGAGGAGGTAATTTTGGCTGTGGTGGAGCGTCAGGCTGTTTCTCCTTGTTGTCCTCAGGAGCTTTCTGATTTTCCACTCCGCATGCCACCACCAGCAGCAAAGCCAGCAGCAGCTTGGACATGGCTGAAACGACAGTCTAAGAACTGGTGAACGAGTCGAGTTCCTTTCAAGGCTGCAGGTGACATTTTCAAACATCAATGAAGCTAACTAGGGAAGACAAACTAGGTAGCTGCTTGAAACATGCAGAAACTGAAATAGGATTGAACGCTGAATGTCATTCCTGCCCCCATGATTGCATCGACGGCACTGGCTGCTCCTTTTGCTCGACCCCCCTGTCTGGTGCATGCTCAGTAAGCAGGACAAATGCCCGTTCGAGAACGAGACAAATCCACAGAACAAATGACAGGATCCACAACTGCTTCCTCTACACTGCTGAACCGGTGAGTGCTTGCTGGAAACAGGGCAGCTTCTGCCGGACCGTGGAAAATGATAACCTGGCGCGCCTTGGCCTGAGTCAATTTCTGTACAAACTGGTCCAGCTCAGCTTGGCGCATAAGCTGCCATTTACATTCTGCTATTTTCAAAATCTCCAACAGATCTCTGCAGATTGCAGTGTGGCTACCCATGAATAATGGTGTCACAAAGACCCGTCTCACAGTGACGATGGCAGCCTTATATGCAACGCAAATGCCATCTTTGCCCCTGCTCTCCACAAACTGCGGCGTCGCCACAATTCCACCCAGCAGGCCGCCCACAAATTTCATGTGGGAAGTACAGTTGTTCGGGTCGTTGGCCACGAAAATACGCGCGGCTGTCATTGGGACGCCCCGGTCTGGGCCATAGATCAAAGCCTCTTCAGTCCAGGCCGCCTGGTGCAAGGATAAGCTAAGAACTTCAACAAAGACATGTGTACTGTGTACTATTAAGAACATCCGCTTCGTCCCTTGACGACACCACCGCGCCTCCTTTTGAATGACGCGCTTCTGCGCAAGTTTCTGGTTATTGGTGTTCTCTCTCTGGTTTTGCTGGGCCCGCCTGCAGTACTCCTCTGCGGCAGCGGTGAGTTCTGGCGTGATTTGGTCTTGCGGCAACACCTTCAGGAGTAGTTGCTCTACCAAAGCTTTGCTCTTCTTGGCTTCAGAAAATGCAATCTCCTTCATTTGTTTTTCACCAAAGTATTGCAGAATCTCAGCTGCAGAAGTCTTCTCTGTCTTCAAAGCGGCAATATCGGAGCTGGACGACGCAGCAAGTTGCTGCGTGACCATTTCGCGGCCCTGGAGAAAGCCTGCTTCCCCGTCTTTCAGCGCTTTCCTGGAAACAGAGAAACGAATTGATATTCAACAGTCGCCGAACAAAATGGCGATTTTGACACAAACAGCTGTCCTTGGAAGACCTTTGTCCCAGCGAGCTTTGCGTTTGCCGTCTCCACTCTTGCGCACCCTGCTGCAGCACGATGCCCAGATGGCTTTGGCCCTCATGATGTTGTCCTTCAAGTCCAACTCATCTGCGGCCTTCCCTCGCAGAATGTCCTGTTGGATGATGAGGATGCTTTCCTCTGACACAACGTGCTCGTCCTGTCCTTGGCCAAGTTGTTTGGCTGCCAACGCCATTCCAAAACCTCTCTCCACCGAAGACGAGGAACAAGACCAAGCACCAAGTCTGGCCAGGGCCGGCACTAGTGCTTCGGTGGTGTAGGATGCCATGCTCTTGGAAGCTGAGCCCACTGCCTTTTTCCAAGCCTCAAAGGTGCGAAGGCCTTGTTTGCCAAATTTGGCAGCAAGTGGGTATAACCGATCGTATTCATACTGCAGGGTTGCTGCACACACCCCGATGGCTTGAGCGAGTTTCTCCAAACAGTTTTGGATCTCTCCGCTCTGCCGTCTCTGTGTTGATTTGATTTCGTCTGAGACACTGAAGGCGCGCAGGCTTGACATAAGCTCAAAGCTTGGAAACTCTCCTTCCATCACACTTTTCGCCACTGCAACATATGCCGACATTCTGATCAGGCATTGTTTGTTGGTTTGTGGGTCAGTCCCCCCCCAAAGTTTTCGCCACATCTGCGACAAGCAGGTTCCGCGGCTTCTCCAAGTAGCCCATCATCAATTTAGTCATTCCGGGAACCTGAAGGCACAAACCATCGATGAAGAGTCTTTCCAAGATGGACCTGTAGAGGTCCAGCTCCTGAGGCAGCTCGGCTTCGTCAAAGTCATCTGCATCGAAGGATCTAACGACACGGTGCAATTCAAGTGCGCTGTCTGCTAGCATCCCCAACTGAAGCACTTTCTCAGGGTCCAAGAAACGAAGAGTTTCCAGGCAAGCCTGCCCCTCAGGAGACCTTGGTCCCCGAATGGTGGGAACTGCTGTCAAAACGCCAAGCACAGAATCCCACGTGAGGACAAGTCTGGCCAAGACCTTTGCCTCACTAGAGTATCGCTGTGGTGCCCATGCCAAGTCTTTGACAGCTTTGCTGATCTTCACAGGTTCTTTCGATTTTGACCTGAAGTCATTGTAGAGTTCTTTGATCTGTTGGCTATTCACAATCAACCGAGCCACGCTGTGCTGCTTCTCAACCAGTTGCAGAATAATGTCCTTCAGAAAAGGATCGGCCTTCCATGGCCTTGACAGCAACCGTTGCGCTGCATGCGCACGGTCTTTGGCCAACACCTGCGCAAGAATTGAAAAATTCAAGACGAGCCGAGTCCTTAAATAGCAAATCTGCTTCTAGCTGTTGGGGAACCACTTACCAAAAAAAAGACCTGCCTTTAAGGAAGGAAGGGTCTGAATCAAGGTATCCTTCAGTTCCACTGGGCTCGGGCCGCCGATGGAAGCCATCTCTCGTAGGGCAAGTTGCTCGTCAGCAGCCGCGTCGGCGGCCATTGCTTCAATTCTGGGCACAATGCTCCGGAAAG